AGGCTGACGCCTCCAAGTACCGGCTGGGGGCTGGGGAAGCAGGTGCAGTCTTGCGTGCTGTGGGCTGAGGCCGAAACTGGGGTCAGGATCGCTTGTTTGGGGGAGACTCAGCAGCTACTTTCCCAGGCTTGCCTGTCTCCCTTCTCAGTGTGTGCCCGGAAAATGCTCAGCACAGAGGAGAAGACAGAGAAGAAGGAAACACGACCGACCGTCCTGGTGAGCGAGAAGTGCGAAAACGGAGCAGGGGAGGCAGAAGGGGAGGCAGGGGAGGCAGGAGAGGCACAGTAGGGAGAGGCCACCTGTCCCAGAGGGGAGGCCGCCTGGGCCGGCTGACATCTGAGCCCGGAGGAAACATGAGAAGAGCCAGCCCTGGGAGCTCTGGGAAGGTTCCAGGGATACAGACAATTTGGTCGCGGCTGGAAAAGGCAAACATCTGCTCTTCTCTCCTCCCTAACCCTCACTCTCAGAAACTGTCAGAGGGAGAGACAGAAATGCAGAGGGATCAGACACACTTGGCAGAGAACAAGCCCAAATGCGGGGCTGGGGCTGGGGCTGGGGCTGAGACGCCTCCACTCGCCTCACAGCAGATGGCAGGTTCCTGCACAGGCGGCCCCGCCCACAGGCCCCTGTTGCCACAGCAGATGGTGGGACAGTGACAGTCCAGCCCAGGCCGAGCCGGATGGCCGCACAGCGCCTCTGTCCATTCCCAGGCAGATGTGCGCGTTCCCTGATGCCCAAGGACAGTCCTATAACCAGGGGCACCCCAAAGGGAGGGTTCCCCACACTGGCCTGGAAAACCTCGATGCCATCAAACGCTGCTGAAAAATGGCCCTTCCCACCCAGTGGTGCTCTGTGCTCAAAAGCGAAGCTGCGTCTCCGGAGACCCCTGCCCTGCCCATCCCTGCTGTGGCCACCACCAAGAGGAAGCACACTCCGATGGCACCCTGCTTTCGAGGTTCTGATTTAGTTGCCGACTTTTAAATTCAGAAGCTTTCACGTAAACCACTGAGATCTCCGGTTCCTCTGGGAAAACTGGAGGGCTGGTGACACTTGCTGCACACTCCCGTGACGTCCCAGCTGGGCTGAGCAACACCACTCCTTTAGACAGCACGCACTCTCAGCTCCCACAGTCCCACCCAGCCCAGCCAACCCTCTGTGCTACTTGTTTATCCCATGAGTGAGAGAAAGAAAGAGAGGGAGAGACAGAGATAGAGAAATGGCACCTCCAATCCAGTCGCAATGCTGCCCCCAACCCCCGCCCCGCTCACCTGGATCCAGAGCACACCTGAAGCCTGTGTACTCAGGGACTTCTGGGATGGTCTGCCCCACAGCGCATCTTACCACTGTGCCCCATCCAGCCACACCACCCACTCCTTCAAGTCCAATCTGCATCTCTTAGCCTGGCCTGTCTACCCCCTAGACCTCTGATCCTTTCTTCCTGTGCTGACATCCCATGGTCCCTCCTTCCTCTCAGCAACCCTCTCACGGCCGCCCTCTGCAGCCTGCCAACTGTGGGAGCCTCTCCACCCTCCCAGCGGCCACTGTCTGGTTTCACCATTGATGCCGGAGGTCGCAGTCAAGCATCTCACAAAGTTGCCTCCCTCTCCAGAACAGCGTGGCCCTGCCTGGGATCAAGTCTACCTGCAACCCCCCGCCCCATTCTTATCCACAGCAGGACACGTGCTGAACCCCTGGGGCCGAGTGCGCGGAAGCGTGTGCAGCGGTTAGCCATTGCTGTGACGCTGGAGAGCCTGGTCAGAGGACGGGTCTCGGCGGACGGGGCAGAGCCAGCTGGGTGCCACAGACTTTAGTAGCAAGGTGTGCAGTGTGACTCCGTGTTGCTCACGCACAGCAGCAAGACCGCAGATGGATCTGCTGCAGATTAGGGAGGAAGACCAACAAACTGATCCCTCACCATGGCGAGTCTAAGAGAAACTGGGCTAAAACCCTGGGCACATAAGGCCCGGCCCCCTCTGCCGAGTGCCTGGGCTCCCCATCTCCTCCTGTGTGCAACTGCTCTGGCGACGCCCCAGCCCTGCAGCACTGTCATGGATCACCATGACAACCACACCCTCTGCACACCAAGGTCTGTCAATGCAGCTGGCCCCTCGGAACTGCTTGGAGAACTTTCCTATTTAACTTTCAAGAGACAATAGTGGATTGACCACGAGGCAGAAATTATATTCTTAAGGGACAAGAGAAGTGAAACTTCTTATAATGAAGATTATTCTCACTGGCTATTTCTTTCCTTTTTATAAATTATTTATCTATCATTTTTTAAAATTTGCTATAGGGCACATGTGCTCATGGTGGGAGGTGGGGGGAAGAAAGTGAGAAAGCAAAGCACCAGGTCCAGGAATTGAACCACAGTCAACCATATGGGAGTCCAGGACCTTAACCACCATGCCAACTGCTAGTCCCCCTCCCCCAGCTGTTTCTTGAGTTGAGCACCAGAAGACGATGGCTGGCATTTAATCCCATGTTTACATTAGAACCAGGATACAAGTGGGGATCTACTCAGTGAGATGCGGGGAAAGTGAAGCATATTGAGGAGACAATGAATGCCCGGATCCTCTTATTAACTCCAAAACGGGTGACAAGGGGGGATCTACTCAGTGAGATGCGGGGAAAGTGAAGCATATTGAGGAGACAATGAATGCCCGGATCCTCTTATTAACTCCAAAACACGCCCACCACAGAGCACAGCAGTGACGTCATGAGATCAGAGGTCTCTGCTCAGACGTGGGCGCGCTCTCTCCGCCACGTGACCAAACGCAGTGAGGGATTCGGATCCATGAAAAGTGCACCTCGGGACCAGCAGTTAGCGTAGTGGCTATGTCGCTGGACTCCCACATAGTCGACCGCAGTTCAAGTCCCAGATCTGGTGGCTTAAACTCACGCCGGGCGCGTGTGCATGCCCAAGATCCCGAGAGAATGGAGAAGGGATTGCGGCGTGGCCATCCCCCCCCTGGGGAGTGATTTCCTGCTTTCTGTCTCTCTGTCTCTGTCTATCTGGAGAGCACATGGGCCCTATGCAAAAACCTCTCCCCCCTCAAAAAAAAGTGCACCTCTAACCCCCCAGGGCACTTCTCGTGAACTCTGAAACCTCTCCCCATCCTTCGAGATGTCCATATGCCTTCTGCTCTCCTCCAAAGTGGTAACCTCCCCACGGTTTCTGACCTTGGGCAAGTTGCTGAATCTCTCTGAAACTTAGCTCCTTGTTCCTTTAAAGTCCTCATGTGTTTGAGACCAGAACGAGAGAACGGCAGCAATAAAACATAAAGAAGTACCTAATAGGGGTCTGCAGGTGGCATGGAGGTGAGGGCGCTGAGTCCCCCACATGGCCGACTTCAAACACTCCAGCACATGTGCATGCAGGCCCAAAATCCCAAGAGGAGAATGGAGGAAAAGGGATTGTGGCATGAGCCATCCCCTCTGAGGGTTGCCTCCTCACTTTCCCTCTCACTCTCTCTCTCTGTCTCTCTGGCAAGTACACATACCCTATGGCAAAAGCCAAAAAAAAAAAGAAAAGAAAAAGTCAAGGGTCACTTAATATTTAGTCAAACTATCAAAGTATAGGCCCAGCTTGTATGTGGCAGATGTGACAAAGAGCTGGAACCCATGAACCACAACAGTCTGAGTGCCTAGGACAGGCGTGAAAACACCCAGGCGCACACACAAACACGCCCAGAATACTGGTGGGCTTGGAGGACTAGGAAGGGACCACGGAGTGACTAAGTCATGTGTCTGTCTCCCTGTCTCTCCCTCTCCCTCCCTCCCCCCCCTCCCTCTCTCTCTCTCTCTCTCTCATGAGTATACTGTCATGGGGCCAGCAGGTGACATGGTGGTTAACGCACTGAATCCCACATGGCCAGAGATGGTTTGCATCCCAGGCCCAGCAGCATGAGAATCACAAGCAGATGAAAACAGGTTGGCAGGGGAGGAGGGGAACATCATGTTTGAAGAGGGAGGGAAAAGTAGACTCCTATCATAGTAAAGATAAAAAGTTGCCAGTAGTAAAGTTACAAAATAACACTAATTACGGGAAGCTGGCAGGTGGCGAGGTGGTCACGGTGCTGAACTCCCACATGGCCTATTGCGGTTCGGATCCCAGATCTGCCAGTTTGCCTTCTCACTTTCCCTTTCTATCTCTCTGGTCAAATTGAAAAATAAATAACAATAACAAATAAAATTTTAAAAATTCCTTAGGGGGGAAAAAAGTTAATACTAATTATAACGTCATGTTAATGAGAGATTACACACCATAATATGCAATGTATAACACAACATAGCATAATATGGGGACAGCTGCAGGAGTTCTGCTTCTGTATTTGCCTTGGGGCAGGTGCATGCACCAGACAGAGAGAGACAGAGACAGAGACAATGAGAGGGAAAGTGAGAAATCACCCCCCAGGAGGGATGGCCACGCCACAATCCCTTCTCCTCCATTATCTCAGGATCTTGGGCACCCACACGCACACACTCGTGCCCGGCATGAGTTTCAAGCTACTAGCTCTGTAACTCGAACCATGGTTGGCCATGGGGAGTCCAGCAACGTAAGGACTACACCATCTGCTGCGCCCAGTGCCTGTCTTTTACCTACGGTGTGACCTTGGGGCAGGTGACTTAACCTCACTGAGCCTCCGCTCTCCCATCTGAGTGAAGATAACTGTAGAAATACCCCGAGGTTCCTTCAGGAAGGTGAAGCATATGGAGGACACAGACCTAGCCAGGGCCGCTCACCACCAGTGTCAGTCTCTGGGCCCTTCCTGGTCAGCACTGTCTTGGCAATAGAAAGCAAAAGGCACCATTTCCACACATCATGGTGTGTTAAACGCCGACATTCCAAGTCGGCCCACGGCCTCTCCCGTGTTCCCGGCAGCCCCGCCAGCACAGTCTCCGGCCACAGCCTCTGGGCTGACTCAGCTTCTGGGACAGATTAGCATGTCAATCTCAGTGGCAATTACGGGCTATTCCCTGAGTGGACACTGCAGAGAAGTCCACAGGCCATAGCAGCGTCTCTTCTAGACGTCTCTAAGTGTCCGAGCCACAATTAGAGGTCGGCTTAATTCCATGGAGATGCCGGAACAAGCAGAGAGACCATTTGACTGGTGATCGATTTTCCCAAGTGACAGACGATTATTCTAATTACAGAAGGGATTTCTTTCTTCCCAAATTGCTAACACATTCCTCCAAACGATGCCTCACCTGATGCAATGACAGTCCCAGCCCAGAGGGTGTTCTCTATGCTCAAGCTCTCACTGATCGGAGGGTCGCTGTCCTCCTGGAAGAGACCAGACACACATTCACCCACCAGGTTTCCAGCAGAATCCATGGCCATTCCTAGCCCACACGTCTCCAGACCACAAGACGAGGGCCCGGGCCGAGGAAACCAGGGCTGGTTCGGCAGCCAACAGCCAAGCAGAGGGCCAAGCACCCTCAGTTACCCTTCCTGGGGTTGTCTTCTCCTGTGGGCACCTGGTGAAAGCGCTTAGAAGGGCAGGTCTCTGACTCTGGAGGGAGGCTTACAAAGTACAAGCAAAGGCAGGGCACGTCACCAGGCTCTCTGCTGGGCTTGCGGAAAGAGAATGTGGACACCTTCCACTGTGCTGTCCAGTGCTCCTAAAGTAACTAGAACCTCAATTTAACTACCATTCTGAAAGGTCTGGACGTGGCTTTAAAAGTTCTCAAAATGGCAGGTAAGATTTTTACAAATTTAAGAGGACAGACGCATCTGAAAGAGACAGAAGCCCAACTGCTTTCAGACGTCAGGGTTAGCACCAACCACAGTGACTCCGGGTTGTTGGGTAATATAAGTGGCTCCGAGGCTGGAAAAGAGCCCCAGTGTGTCAACCTCACTGAGAAACAAGATGTCAGCTTCTGAGGGCCAGCAGGTAGCATGGTGGTTGGGACACTGGACTCTCACACGCCAACTGTGGTTCAAGTCCCAGACCCGCTGGCTTGCTTTCTCTCTCTCTCTCTCTCTCTCTCTCATCAAATTGAAAAATAATACTAACTAAAATTAATTCTTAAAAGAAAAAAAGATGTCAGCTTCCCACGTGGGGCCCATTAAGGTGACCTCACTCCCCACCTGGCACCGAGCCGCTTCCTGACAACACTTTTCTGCAAGCCTTCACCACCAACATGTTAGCACTGGGCCGAGGTCTACATTAAGGTAAGCTACTTACGCGGGTGAAAGTCCCCACGAAGTTGTGAATGTCAATATTCGGCTCTTCTGCATACACATATGATCGAATCTGAAGAAGATCCTGTTCAACAAAGGAAACATTGGGAGTTAAAACAAAGTCGGTCCATGATTCACGATTTCAGGAGGCACCTGCTCTTTCTCAAAAGCAACTGCACTTCCCAAACAGAGCAAACAGGCTCTCAAAATTACAGAGAGGTGGGAAGAAGACCAAACTTCTCCAATAAGTAAATGTAAGAGTTGCTGCATGCTGTACAACAGCCCGTGGCCTGTTAGAAGAGTCTGCAGGGAAGACGCCTATTTATCTTATAACTCACCACTTTCTAAACTTGACGGTTCAGCTTATGCCATACAATATGAGTACTTTTTTTTTTTTAAGTTTTTTTAAAAAGAATTTTTTATTGGGCCAGCAGGTGGCATGGTGGCTAAGGTGTTGGAATTCCCACATGGCTGGCCATGGTTTGAGTCCTGGACCTGGCAGCTTGCTTTCTCACTCTCCCTCTCTCTCTCTCTGTCTTTCTCTGGCAAAACTCATGTGAAAAATAATATTAACAATAATAATAAATATATAACTCTTAAAAAAAAAGATTTATTTACTTTTATTCATTCATTTATTTTATTTTAATTTGACCAGAGAGATACACAGAGAGAGAGAGAAAGAGGGAAAGTGACAATGCAAGCCACCAGGTCCATGACTCGAACCATGGTCAGCCATGTGGGAGTGCTCACCAAGCCACCTGTTGGTCCCAATATTAGTACTCTTGAAATGAAAGACTCCACTAGAGTCTGGCTTCTAAGACTTGTTTATACTAATGAAAACACTTGTTTATTTGACAGATGGTTACTGGGCACCTCTTCTGTGCGAAGTCCTGGAAAGGGCTGCACAAGCAAAGATACGCATCATATCCACGAGAGGGCGACCATGGAAAACAAAACAAAAGCCGACGAGGACAGAGAGAAACTGGAGCCTTTGTGCACACTATTGATAGGAACGCGAAACAGCGAACCACTGTGGGAAACAGTGTACGATGCTTCCTCGAAAAAAATCAGACACAGAATTGCCTTATGGTCCAGCGATTCCACTTCGGCATGTACACCTTCCTATGAGAACTGAAAGTAAGGACTCAAGGAAGTCCCGGCACACCATGTGCGTTATTCAGAGTGGCCAACAGGTAGGAGCAACGCAGGTGTCCACCGACAAAAGAACTGAGCCGCAAAATGTGGTATGTCTGTAAAATGGAATATTACTCAGCCCTAAAAAAGGAGAGAATTCTGACATGCAACAAGGGGGATGAACTTTGAGAACAGTACATAAGTGAAATAAACCAGTCATAAAAAAGATACTATTATACTATGTGATTCTATTTAGATGAAGAATCCAGAGTAGGCAAATTCGGAGAGATGAAAAGTGAATGGTTGTTGTCAGGGACTATGGGAAGGGCATGGGAAGCTATTGTTTAATGGAGCAGAGCTCCAGCCTGGCAAGATCAAAGAGTTCTGGAGGTGGGTGGTGGTGATGGGAGCCCAAGAAGATGAATGTATTTAAGCCATAGGACTGTAAGAGTTAAGATGGAAAATTTGGTGTGAAGTATATTCTAGCATTTGAAAAACAAAAACAAAAGAAGTGCCACCTCAGACAGATGGTGAAAGAGCACAGGAGAAAGCTGTATTCCACACAGAAGATGCTGGGCCAGTTTCACAGATGCACTGCTCAAGAGAAGCCTGATTCCACAGGGCCACTGCGGTTCGAATCCCCAGCAAGCCAACCCAAAACACTGAGCATGCGCGTGGGTGCCCGAGAGCTGCTGGGCTGGAGAGGGCTGGAGGAGGGGACTGTCATGTCACCAGACTCTGAAGGGTGCTTCTCTCTCTGTCTCCCTCTCTCATATGCACATGCTCTATCATGAATACAGAAAAAGCATAATGTGCAAAGTGACACAAGCCAGGGACACTCAGAGGACACATTTTGATAGCCACATACTTTGGGGCACTCTGCAGACCCAGCAGGGAATGCATGCGTGCTTTGAATCACACAGAAATCTGGGTTTCTGGATTCTCTTTAAAAAACAATGGGGGGAAAAAAAAAAGAACAATGGGGGGAGGGGGCGGCGGGTGGCACGGTGATTAAAGCGCTGTACTCCCACATGGCCAACGTGGTTCTAGCCCTGGACCTACCAGCTTGTTTCCCCACTTTCCCTCTTTCTCTCTCTTTCTCTCTCTCTCTCTCTCTCTGGTCAAATTAAAAAATAAATAAATAATGATAAATCAAATTAAATAGAATAATTCTTTTTCTAAAAAAATGTTTCTATATGTATGTATGTATGTGTGTGTGTATATATATTATATATATATCCATCCATCCAGAGGGGCGGGAGGGCTGGCTTCATGGCACAGTGGTAATGCACTGCTCAAGACACACTGGATCCCACATGGTGACTGTGGTTTGAATCTCCAGCCCGGTCAGCCTGAAACATGCTGGGCATGCACGTAGGTGTCCAAGATCCCAGAGGATACAAACTGGGAGGAAGGAGATCACAGCATGATCAGTCCTGTAGAGGGTGTTCCCTTTCTCTTTTTCTCTCAAGCACACGCATGTGTTCCATCATCAAGAAAGACAAAAACATCAAAAAGTAAAAATCATGTTAGGCAAACTAGGGCCAACAGCACCACTTGGTCACGGTCTGCAGTTGAGTCGAGGCTCCTGCCACCTTCAGGCAGGGCCTGCATGACTGACAACTGGCTGGGGGCGTCCTGTGCACACGAGGGTTTCCTGGACTCTGTGTATTGCTATAAAACGGCCCACAAGGCTGGCAAGTAGTGAGGTGGTTGAGGCGCTGGACTCTCACACGGCCAACCACAGTTCAAATCCTAGACCTGGCAGCCTGCTTTCTCGCTTTCCTTTCTCTTTCTCTGTATCTCTCTCATCAAATTAAATAAGTTAAACTGAATTAATGATTTTTTGTTTTGTTTTGTTTTTTTGTTTTTGGAGAAGTTTTTGTTATAGGGAGTATGTGCTCTCCAGAAAGACAGAGACAGAAAGCGAGAAATCACCCTTCAGGGGGGTGGCCATGCTGCAATCCCTTCTCCACCATTCTCCTCTTGGGATCTTGGGCATGTACACACACATGCCCGGCGTGAGGTTAAACCACCAGGTCAGGGACTCGAACCGCGGTCAACTACATGGAAGTCCAGCGACACAGCCATTACACTAACTGCTGGTCCCTGAATTAATTTTTTTAAAAAAGAATTCAACCTTAATAAATAAATAAATAAATAATAAATTTAGAAAGAGTTCAACTTTGAAGAATGCTTAAAAAAATGGTCCAGGGACATATCAAACCTAAATAGAAAGAAAAGCTACAGAACAACAATACAGACTCATCCCATTTACATAAAAATATGATCTACAGGCCAGCTGGTGGCATGGGGGTTAGGGTGCTGGATCCCACGTAGCCAACCACGCACTTCAAGTCCCGGAGCTGGTAGCCGGAAAAACACTCTTGGTGTGTGTGCATGCATCCCAAAATGCTGAGAGAGAAATGCAGGAGAGGGATTTCAGTCTGGCCATTCCCCCAGGGGGTGCTTTCTCATTTTCTCTCTCTCCAGCATGCACACATGCCCTATAGCAAATTTTTTAAAATTAAAACATAAATAAAAAAGCACAATCCATAAAGAAGTCTGCATTGGGACCAGCAGATGGCGCAAGGGTTACATCACTGGACTCCCACATAGTCGACCACGGTTCAAGTAACAGACCCAGTGGCTTAAAACTTATGCTGAGCATGTGTGCATGCGTGCCCAAGACCCAGAGAGGAGAAGGTTTTGGGCATGCACTCATGTGCACCTGTCATGTTTCTAAAGTTGTTGGAGTTGGGATTTGAACCATGATTGGCCATTTGAACCATGATTGGCCATAAGCTGGCTTCCCTTAGCCCCCGGGAGAATTAGGATTACAGTGTTACCATGCCCCACTGGGGAGTTCTCTCTCTCTCTCTCTCTCTCGCTCTTGCTCTCGCTCTTGCTCGCGCTCGCTCCCTCTTTCCCTTTCTCTCTCTCTCTCATTCTCTCTCTCTCTCTCTTTCTCCCTCCCTCTCTCTCTCTCTCGCTCGCTCGCGCTAGCTCCCTCCCTCCCTCCCTCTCTCTCCCTCTCTCTCTCTCTCTCTCTCTTGTTTGCACGTACACATGAGAGTACATGTACCCTCTGGCAACTAAAAAAATAAAATTAAAAATACATTTGTCAGGACCAGCAGATGGCGTAGTGGTTACGTCTCTGGACTCCCACGTCGTTGACCAGGGTTCAAGTTCCGACCCAGTAACTTAAAACTCAGGCCGAGAATGTGTGAGTGACGCCCAAAATCCCAAGAGGAGAATGGAGGAAATGGACTGCAGCAATGGCCATCCCCCTGGGGTAATCTCTCGCTTTCTGTCTCTTTCTGCCTCTCTGGTGAGTAAATGTGCCGTAGAGCAAAAATCTCTCTTAAAAACAAACAAACAAACAAAAGACATATAGGGGCTAGCAGGTGGTGTGGTGGTTAAGGGCACTGAATTCTCACCTGGCTAACCACAATTCGAGTCCCAGATTCAGCAGCTCACTTTCTCTCTTTCTCTCTCTCTCTCTCTCTCTCTCTCTCTCTCTCTGGTCAAATTAAAATAATAAAAAGTACAGTTAAATATTAAAAATTATTTTATTTATTTACTTATTTATTTATTTATTTCCAATGGCTGTAACTAAAAATACAGTCAACAAGGGCAGCCCTATAGCCTAGTGGTTAAAGGAGCCAGATCCTTCATGGCCAACCATGGATTGAATCATTGCCCTGGAGCTTAAAAACATGCCAGGTACATGTGTATACATGCCTCAAATCCTGACAAAATGGGAAAATGGAGAAGGGGTCTCAGTGTGACCACACACCACTATGAGTGCCTTCTTTGTCTCTCTGGCAAGCACATGCACCCTCTGGCAATAATATAAATGAAAAAATAAAAATATAGTCAGCACACATTTGCACACTTTTTTGGAAATTTCAAAGAGATGTACAGACAATTATTAAATGAGCTTAGAAGAGGATATACAGTTAGTTGTGTGAATGGAAAATGAACACACTTCTAATGTACATGAGTAATGGTATCTCATGTCATAAAAATGTAAAAAAAAAAAAAAAGAAAATAAAAGCCAACACCAAAAAAGGACAACAAACTCCTTCTGTTTTTCTTGGAGTTTCATGAGCCCTCACTTAAGTGCTCTGTGTAGTTATGGTTCCTCTATTTTTGTGTGTGTGTGTGTGAGGTTTTTGCTATAGGGCACATGTACTCGCCAGAAAGACAGAGAGAGACAGACAAAAAAAGTATTATATATATATATTTATATTTGCATATCATTCAGGTAATCTTTTCATATAATTCTTTTAATCCAGAATTTTATTAAAATGGGACTCTCCCATAGGATTAGCAGAGAGTCATAGCTATGTTGCTGGACTCCCACAGGGCGGACCATAGTTTGAATCCCAGACCCGGAGGGTTGAAACACGCCAGGTACATGTGCGTACATGCCCAAAATCCTAACAGAAAAATGGAGAAGGGATTGCGCCATGGCCATCCCCCCAGAAGGCAATTTCTCGCTGTCTCTTGGTCTCCCTCTGGAGAACGCACCTGCCTTACAGCAAAAAAGCGCTCTTAAAGAAAAGCAGGGGAGGGGCAGTCTCCCACCCAGACTCCCTCAGGCCTACTGAGGCTAAGGGCTCCCTACAATGAAACAATCAAATTGTATCTTTCTTTGAGAACCAGCCCAGGCACGGCCAGAGATGGGGCAAAGTGGCCATTTATCAAGCTGGGTGCTGCTTCCAATGCACCCCCGGGAGGAGGCTGCTACAGCACACGCCAGCATCTCGGCTTCCGGGCTCCTCCGCACTGTCTAACCGTCTCCAAGCCAAGCTGAGGGACAGAATCCTTTCTTTGGCTGACTCTGACCAGGAAGCAAAACCCATCCCCCGATAAAATCAGAGCCCCACGGTTAGATTCGTTCTGTCTCGCAGCATGCCAGGGCCTTCGAAAAGCTCCCAGCGACTCCTAGGCTGCAGTTAGAAACGTGCACCTATGGAATTCCTGGTTTAAAAATTAACAGGGACAATGGTGCTTTCTCACTTTTTATGAGCCATGAAAGATCAGGATTGCAGTGGCCACATTTACTGTTATGGTAACTCCATGAAGACATGCCCACTCCCTCGCGGAATGGAGTCGGGGTGACACACACGCTGTGGCACAGGAGAAGCCTCCAAGTACGCCTGATCCTTCCCCAGGCCACCATGTGGAAGGCAAGCGTCAGCACATTTACTCAACCAAGAGAGAAGGAAGTGAGAAATCGCCCCAAGGGGAATGGCCACGCTGCAATTTCTTCTCCATTCTCCTCTCAGGATTTTGGGCAAGCACACACACCCAATGTTTTTCAAGTTACCGGGTCTGGGAATTGAACTCTGGTCAGCTATGTGGGATCCAGCTGCCCATCCACCATACCACTGGCTGGCTGGGTCTCAGGACACTACTGTGGCCATCCCGCGCCATGCCCACTGCGGCACGCAGTGAGACACAGCAGAAAACACACAGCAGAGCCCGATCACGTGGAGGTGAGCAGTGGAGGTGCAAGGACAGGGTGTCAGAAGACGCCTCTGCTGGGGGCTGGCGGGTGGCGTGGTAAGGGCGCTGGACTCCCACATGGCCAACCACAGACCTGGCAGCTTTCTCACTCTCTCTCTTTCTCTGTCCCTCTCTGGTCAAATTTTAAAATAAACAAAGTTAAATAAAATAATTCTTAAAAAAAAAAAAAAAAAAAGATGATGCCTCTGCTGAGGACCTGGGGTACACTGCCCAAGAGAAGGGGGGGATGCCCAGCCGGGCAGACCTCTGGGGTATGAGGGCTCCTGGTGGAGGCAACAGCAAGTGTAAATACCGAAGGCTGAAATGTGCCTGACCAAGCAGAGGTGAGAGAGGAGGGGGCAGGGGGACAGAAGGTGACAGTAGGGACTGCAGAGCCCAGTCCCGGGGACAGAAGCCCCTGGAGGCTTTGCACAGAGGCCCAGGCTCTGGCTTCCCTGTCATTTCTGGCTGGACATCTCATCCAGGTTTCTTATGCTCTTAGGCTTCCCGCGAAGGCTTGCTCCCTGCAGGCGGGGTCTGCACCCCCACGTTCCCCACCAGCCCACTTCACAGGTGACATCCATGTCTGGCCCCAAGGGCAGCTGGGTCTGAGGACCAGGCTATGCCTCAGAGGCTAGTGTGCACTTCAGTGGGGTGAGCTACTCACAGCAGCAGTGGGCAGCCTCTGCGTGCAGGCCACAGGGAGCCTCAGCTTCCAGGCCGTCT